AGCACATTGGAACAAATTTAAGTTACCAAATAACATTTACATTTAAATTACTGTGTTAAATTGAAATTACATCATTATTATATTATAGCTAATTGGCATTTATCAGTGTATTTATTATGTATTTTAATGTATTATTTTCTCAAATCCCTTTCAAGGCAAAGACAGTATTAGTTAACCTTGTTGTTGCTTTTATAACAATAGTGTCTTTCCAACAGTATCAACACGTCTTTCGAAATACGTTCAATTTTGTTCTTTTAAACTTGTATAGTTATAACTGTACATTGAAGTGGGTTGAAAGCTAGTTTCAATATAAGAACTTGGATTGCATATACAAATGTGGTATAAACTTTCATTCTAACAGTCTCAAAGCTTAACTATATGTGTGTATGTTACAATCTTCTAACTGTAATTAAGATCCTTTGTCACACTTTTATATATGTGGGCTGGGGTGTTTTTCATAGGTGTCTGTGACTTGTTGGCGATAAATTCAAACAACAAACAGAGAGCACACAATAAAACTTGCTTTAAAATAACATATATTCAAAACAAGTCAAACATATGTACAAAAATTCTTTACATCATAGGATATCACAGTTGTATCTAAAACTCTAAATAATTCCCCTTTCTTGTCAAAAGTTCACACAAGCTGATTGAATTACTTTAGAATCCAGTTGACAAGATAAATTAATTTTGACTACTCTGTTTCTTACCATACAGTATGTGATAAATTCACTTACGTTACCCCATGGGTTACCACAGTTGTATCCTGAACTTTAAGTAATTATTTCCTTTTTGTCAAAGTCCACACAGAAGTGCTCAGTTACTTTAGAACACTCTTTGACAAGACAAATTATTCTCCTTATTTTTCTTAAACTGTGAAACTCACTTTAAAATATCACCCATTACAGCTAAACTAACAATCATGCAGTCTAACTTCACTTTTTCGGACTTCACTTGCTTTTCACTCACTTGGTCGCCTACATATATACATTGCCCAACTAAGGCTTCAAACTTTCTATAAACTATGAGACACTATGATGTAACAGTACTCACTTACAGCAATGAGAAAAATACAGAAGGTTCAAGTAATGTGACTTCAAATTACAACAGTTGAACTATACGCACAACATACAGCTCTTAACAAGTTATGTAACAAAATTTATCATTGCTGTCGCCTTTAAAATAATTACTTTTAACACTGTTTTATGAAACTAAATAATCATTAAATATTAAATCACTGAATAATATCTCTTACACTAAACAGTCTTGTATATCCAACAGCCTTGATACACAGTAAAATATTAGTGTTCAGAAAGTCTCAGTTTCAACTGGTTTTCCTTGTAGCTAAGGATAACAAAGTCATCACCAAATTTTTGTCAAACAAAAACATCTCCCATTAGGAGGAGGCAAGTGAAGCATCTACTTACCTCTAGGCAATTAAGACTGGTCAAAGGTACAAATTGAACATTACACTGAAAACTTTGTCTAAATTCAAAGATGTGCTTTAATTTATATAACAAAACTAAGTTACATTTTACACAAAAAATTTTTAATCTAATATAAATAACACATAAGAACTACTTTATAATGAGACCAATTAAACTGATAATAACCCTTTTATCGCCAGATTCCCTCCTCTAAACCCTGTCCAATAAGTCAGTAGTCTTTCTTTGATGAGAAGATCAAAACTGTAGACAGTAAGGCATAACCAGTGATTTGTACAGAGAGAGATAGTTACCCCTTTTGATTTGTAATCAGTTTGTCTATAAATACAATCTAAAATTATGTTAGCTTTACTATTAGTAACAGCACATTACCTCAATGGCTTGAGTGACTTATCCACCACTGTGCTAGGATTCATTTTTTTGGTCACTCTATTAAGTGGATCATCACTTATATTCAGTTATAACCCAAATGCATTACTTTGCACTTATTATACTTAACTGATTCATGTCATTTTGTAGTACCCTAACATCTTCAGTAATTATATTGATTCCACTAAACAATTGGGTATTTCTAGCTATATAGCTAGAAATACCCAATTGTTTAGTGGCATCAATATCATTACTGTAAATAAGTGGAATCCATTAATAGTAACCTTTTGCTTTCTAGCTCCCAACCAACCACTCTTAAGACCAGCTAACTAGTCTTTCCATAACCCTTACTGGTGTGATTTTCTTAGCTAATCTTTTGTTTGGGGCCATATCAAAATTGTTCTCAAAATCAAAGTACACCAAGTCTACACTATTTCCCTTGTTGATATGACAAGTAATGTCCTCTAAGAAAGATAACAAGTTAGTAAGACAAAAATTCTCTTTTGTGAATTCATGTTGGTTTTCATTTATGGTGATATATTTTACTAAATGACTTTGTAAGTCTTTTATCACACTCTCTAGAAGTTTTCAAAGTACAAAATTAAGACTATAACTGACTTATAATTTACAGAGCAACTTTTATCATCCTCTAAATAGGTGTAATATCAGCGATTCTTACAACCCTCAGCCACATGCTCACTGTTGATTGATCTGTCAAAAATGAAAAAAATACTAGCTATAAAAAAACCTTAAAATTAGGAATTGTTCTATGATAAGTGTGTTATGAATCCCCAGGACTGTTTTATTTTCCTTACAAGTTGATTTGGAATAAATTGCTGTTAGCAGGAATGTAGGCTGGCACTTTATAAAGAATTTACAAGGTCTGTTAATGTTTTCCTGAAAAATAAAGGGTGGGTTTAAATTTTTGCATTTCTCGAGGTTGGGTGTATAAAGACAGCCTTGAAGAACCAAACAGTCCCTTGTTGTCCATATTTTATTTTACTTTGTCATTAAATACAATATTAGTAATAACAAATATCAACAGCTGTACGTGTTTGCTTCTCTAGAACATGTCTTCAGATGAACTCTATTCTGTGATTCTATGTGCATTGCTTATTTTCTTCCTGATCTATTTGTAACATTCATAATTTCTTGACAAGTAAATTAATATTATAAAGATAACTACAGAACAATCTAATTATTTGTCGTTTTCTATTTATAGCAGTGAATCACTGTAGTTACATCAATATACATTATTAAATTGACAATAAGTCACATGTTTGAAAAATTCTAGAATTTCATTTATGAACAAAAAAAGAAGGATTAAAAAAGACACAGCATTTAATAATGTTATGGTCCAAAATATCAAGATTATCATTATAATCATTAGAACTTTTTGTTTTATAACATTGCATACTCCTAATTAGACTGTTAGTTGAAATTAACTACAGTATTTACTGGGTTAATTGTTAGTTCTGATCTCTTTAGGTAGCATACTTTGATCAGAAGTTATTAATAATCATCGAATGATCAAAATACATTGCATTTGAAGGATGTTTTTGCTAGATCCATCATGGTAGAATACATGACAGAAACTACACAAGGTTAACTAACACATACACATATATAAGTTTATTTCTTTTCTTCACCAAAACTTGAATTTCAGTGAAGAGAAATGTTTGTAGAGGCCTAATCTATTCTTTGAATCATTACTCCTGCTACAACATACTAGATTTGCCAGATTCATAGCTCAAAGTACTGTATGGGAGAGCAAAGCAAGTTAATAAAGTATGTGTCATATAGTGGTGGTATTCAGGAGTTTTTTGTTTTGGTTAAGATGTATAGTTCTTTACTCACCACTAATAACATGTGACATACAATCAGATAGTTCACTGAATAATAATGGATAATTAATCATGATGTTATGTCAAGTGTTATCCAAAGTATTTTAGGTTATTAGTGGTGAGTAAAGGACTATACAACTAAAACAAACAAATTCATATATAACGTTACACCATAAAAAAAGGAAGAAAATGAGTTCAACCTGGTCAAGCACATGGGAAGAGAAGGAAAGGAGTTAACATAACTGTACACTGGTACATGTATTGATGTTTGTTTTTGTGTTATAATATAAATATTTTCTTTAATTTCTTTCTGGTTAATATTGTTTCTTCTATCAAAAGAATAATTATAATTGAAAATGTGCTTAAGAACATAGGAAGATGTTCTTTTAGCTCTCTTAAGAACGGCCATATAGTTTCTCTAGTGGGATAGTTTTCACAGTTTTTACAATTAATTTGATATACACAGATCCTGACATATTTTTGACAAAACAATTTTAGTAAGCAGCTGAAGTAACTTTTTATTACCTTGGTTGTATCGAACTCCATTTCTTTTTTATCATGATGTAATAATTCTTGATGTAATTTTGTTTTGCTCATGTGTTTTTTTCATAATATATTTCATTAGAAATGTCCATTATTGAAATTCAACTTTCTTCACTAATGATACCAGATGGTGAAAAATTATTTTTATTTATAAGTAAAGTTCTTAGATTTTATTATGTGACAGAATTCTATCTGAAATTTGATATGTTTAAATATTATAGTTTATGTAAAAAAAAAGTAATAGCTTACTGAGCCATTAGTGAATCTTGTTTGCAGTTTATCAGATTGTACATATGTAATTGCTTAAAAGAGTTACCTCTGAGTTTGTGAAATGATTAATAAAAAATAAGATCTGTACAAGAGCTGCATCTTTTTTTAATTTTATATCGCTCCAACTAGTAAATAGAATTAAAAATTGAATTAAGTTTTTCAAAACCAGCTAGACTATTACTAAATAATAATTGCTAGTCATACATTATTTTACTGCCTCAGCTAGAATATCTTTCTTATTGACTGGATACACAGTCAAAAATCATAATTGTGATTGTTTTCAAGTTGTGTTTCAGGTTTATGATTTGCTGTATTATATGGGTAATATTTTAAATTGTTTTTTGTCACAAGCTTATTGATGTATTTAATAAAAAATTCTAACTTTTTTATGAGCAAATAATTTAAGGTGTAATATGAACATTTAAATAAATTGTAAGGTATTTTATGTGAGATAATCATTCACACAGTCATCTGAAATACAGAATTAATTTTAAATGATCAGCAACATTTTTTTAATAATCTTACTCAGACTGTGAAGTGAATGCTCATAAACACTGTAAGGACTTGGTGGTGGTGGAATGTCGACGTAGTATCAGCACTTCATCTCGCTTGAATTCTTTCTCTGCAGCAGGTAATAATTTTAAATTTTAGTTTGTCAGTCAATGAATCTAAATTAATATATAAAAAATTTTATTTATTTCTGGCTCAGTTGTTTTTTCTGTTGGTCTTTGTTAATTATTAGTTTGAAGTGTACCTTTGTTATTGTCTGGTTCTAATAAATCTACACTATATGTGGGAAACATTAATTTTATTTAAATATTTAAAAAATTAAAAAGCATAGGAAGAAATTTAGTTCTTTACATTTAAACAAAATTTGAGAAACATGTCCAGTTGAATGAGGAACATTTAAGATTTATTCATAACTAAAGAACTAAACAGTATGAATATCAACTGACTTATCTGGTTGAAAATAGTTTGATTATCCAGCAATTAAATTATGCAGCAAAATAAACACTTCAGTAATCTTATAATGTCAAAACTGTATACTGTGATGATCATTATGTAATACGTTAGTATAAATAAAACTAGACAGCAAAATAGACATGAAATAATTCATTAATAAGAAAACTATACAGCATGATGAGACAAGATAATTCATTAGTAATAAAGCTATGCAGCATCATGAACACAAGATAATTAGTAAAAAAACTATGTAACATGATGATCAGAAGGTAATTAATTAGTAATATAATTAGACAACATGACAAACAAATTAATTAATAAGAAAACTGTACAGTGCGATGAACACAAGATAATTAGAAAAAAACTAATATATATATATGTGTGTGTATAGCACGATGAGCACAAGATAATTCATTAGTTATAAAACAAACAAAATTCATTGGTAATGCAAAACTGCAAAACATAGCAAAAACTAATTAATTACCTGATAATTTTTAGTTTGT